ATGTTGATTACATAGGCTTTAGAAATCTTCTGGTTACTTAGTAAACAACTAAACAATAAACTACAAAGTTATGGAAAAATGATTTTTGTTTGTGAGTTTATTCAGTCTATGATTTTTTTAAACCACTATTCGAGACTTGTAAACAGTTCAGACAAATAAATTATAATTAAAGCTGTTATCGGGTTTCACGTTAGGACAAAAACCTTTTTAGTACATCTTGGGTTTTAATGGTTATCTAATTGATGTTAATCCCCGATGTAAACCATTAAAGGTAAAAACATTGAATTATAATGGCTTAAAAATACTATTCATAATACACCAAACATAAATTATCTTAAACAGTTATCATAACTGAAAATCTAAATACGGTAATTTTATTGAATGACTCTTAAAACAACTTGTCTCTCTGCTCTATTCATGTGAAATGAAAAATAGGATTCGTTCGCATAATCAATGTCAAGTAATGTTTTCAAAACTGTCATCGATATAATTCATTACCTAAAAAATGGTGTATACTGTCTACAGAATAACATGTAACTTCACACTAACTCATTTTCCAGTGATCATATTTAACTACATAGTGGCTTACTATATTGTAATTTTTTTCAGGCAGATGGGAATCAAAACAGTGAAACCCTGTCTCAGAACAATGGAGACAATAATTAATTTCTAATTTATTCCAATTTACCATTCTTCATTAAGTGGTATATATATATACGGCTATACCTTAATACTGAGAAGGGGAAATTGTACAAGTAAGGACAGTAGTAGTTGCCAGAAAAGTTGCTTAGCAACTTGAGAATAATACAAGCCAATATTCTGATCTTTATTGTTGCTGATATTATCATTTTTACGATTTCTACTAGTATTGAAATTCAAAACTAAACTCATGTAAATTTCAAAATATAGTATTATTTCCTTGAGCGAAATTCTAACTACATTTAAGTATCCCTAAGATATTATTAGTGCTATATGAAACAATCAATATTACAGTATTGTTATAAAGTTTTTAAACCACGCCCAGTTTATCTTTTGTTTATTAGTTCATGTACTGATAATATAATATGAAGTATATATTCATTTCAATGGGCAATATTCAATATTTTGTCTATACATATGCGAGTAATGATATAAGGGACTGGCTTAATAATTTTAAAATGAAGCTCCTTTGATATTTACTATAATGTATCTAAGCCTCAGAAAGATATTACTTGTATGCTTAATGTGATTATTTCAGTTATTATCAGAAGGGGTTTGTGGAGATTTTTAGAAATTTTCACAGATTGAAATCATGAGTCAGTTGAAGCTAGACCACCATTGAAAACCTGGAAGCACTCGACGGCCGTTTCGTCCTAGTAAGCGACTCCTTAACAGTATGCATCCACGATGTGGCCCTGAGAGATTCGAACTCAAAACCTATCAGTCCAGTGCTTCCAAGTTTTCCATGGTGGTCTAGCTTCAAATGACTCATAAATTCAATTAATAATTTATTACAACCTCTACAAACCCCATTCTGCTTAAAGTTTTATATCAGCAAAACAAACTATAACACACTTTACTGACTATTTATTTTATAAGGTGGATAAAGTTATTGCAACTAACTACACTAAATACTCATTCATCAATTTACAGATAATTGTAAGAAGTTTCAAAAGCCACATAGAGGATCGAAATGCATTTGATTTTTATTTAATAACTTTAAATATATGATGAAGTCTTAACTGAATAATGGAAAATACAAGTAGTATATTAAGATGAGTTAGTATAAAAACTTATTACAATATAGTGACTCACGTGCAAATGAGTTTAGTCTCATCTAACGCAGTTAAGCCCTTTTGCTAACTCATTTAGCGGACAAAGTCATCCGCACTATAACAACTTATTGTACCCTTATTATTTTGTGCTTGTATGAAATACGTATGCTTGAATATTGCTTACGGCCTACGCATTCATTCACTCTGCTAGTCTTACTACTAACTGATTATTTGATTCGATTACTCATTCATTTCACATGGTATATATATGTCCATGTTATTCACATTCAACACACTCACTCACTCACTCACACACACTCTCCCTCGCTTGCTTGCCTTTCGGCACAATTCTTCTATGCTTGTTAAACTCATCTGTACATTAGGATATATGTGTGTGGTCTCGTAATAAACGTAATCAACACTTCGTATTTGCCTTCTGATTAATATACCGTTGGGACGTTATATAGAACGGTTATCAAGACGAACTGTATACGAAGTTTAAAGATTATATCGAATACCGACCACCACAACAATATACCTGTTTTATCATATCCAGCTGTAAATTCTTCTTCTTTAAAAAAGACATTCTGTTTACTGTACACACAAGATTTCTTAGGTTTAAAGTTTAAGGTAATTTTATTTTGATCTGAACTATCTGCATTACATAAAATCAATAGCAATTAATATAATTCTTTATATTTTCTTTTCCTGAATTAGAAATAAGATATATTCTAGAGAGATATGATATTTCATTTATGTTATCTTTAATCATGATAGTAGATCACAAAGAGTACAAATCCTAAAGGTATTATGATCAATCAGTGTAAATATGATGTATGTATATATGTATGTATGTATGTAAAATTTAATAACTATTTTTTAATAGTTTGATAGCAAACCTTTGAAATCTATGAATTTTTCGTCTAGAATTTATTTTCAAATAGTGAGCTCTCAAATGTTTCTGATCCTTCAGGGTTTTATTGTCTGAAATGACTAATAAATATGCTATGTGATTTAAGATTCTCTATGGAGAATTCGTGAGAACTGTTGTATTTTTGCAAACGAGATAGTTACCCATCGCAGATGATGGATCAAGGGTTGAACAAGATAATGGATGGATTGAAGCTAGACATCGTTACCGATGGATGACGGCCAAAATGTCTAAAGGTAAGGCATCGGCTTGTAAGATTTGAGGCCCTGAGTTCGGTTTCTACGTGCGAGATCGTGGATGTGCAATTTTCAGCAGTCCCATACTTCGATTAAATGGCTGTCCAGTACTTCCAAGTTTTCAATAATGATCTAGCTTAGATCGACTCGCGATTTCAAAATTCATCAAAAATGCATAATATATGTGGCATCATTTTAACACAGTACATATTTTATTTAGGTTATTTAAAAAATGCTGGAGATTTCTTAACAAATTCCCAAGCATATGACACCGTTCTAGTTTAGAAGTATTAATGTTAAAAAGACTATTCAATCTGATATAGGATTCGACACCTTTACATCTCATAGTAAGAATGACTCCATATTGGAGTTTGGTTTTATTCCACTGAGTAGTGTTTTTTTTTAGATTTAACCTTGTTGTTAATTGTAGTAAACGTCATTTGTTAACACTCTCTTTGCTCTCAACTAGCTTATTTAGACCAGTTGTGACCATTCAATGAAATGATATGATGATTTTCTGGAAACGGATAATCAATTTGGACTAATTTACTACTACGTTTATATGTATATTGAAATTATTCTTAAGTATAGATAGTCTTAACCCAAATACACGGTGGCTCTCTAGAACTAATAGGTACCATTGTTCCAAACTGGCATTTGTTGTTATCAATTCGCTCAATTAAAACGTTTTAATTCGCTTATTATGTCAGTTAGTTCAGTCTATTTGCGCGCTCATAGAAAATGTTTCCAACCTATTATAAATTTAATTACTTAAAAAACGTAGAAGTACCATTACAGTGGGTCAAATGTCGTTCTTCTCTCTGTTATATGAAATAACAATGAGAGATTGTCATAAAATCAATACACCAAATATATTTAGTGATGCAAAAATGCGTCATAAGAGCAAAACTGAATTTAAAAGTAAACAGATGAATATGAATAATAACGAATCTTTGTTCAAAGTTCAATACGTACGTATTTTAGAAATATTCAAAATAGTATTGAGATTTTGCATATTTTGTGCTAATAATTATGTAATTTTAATCAGGTTTGCTAATCACCAACGTTTCATATATTAATATCATTTCACGAAATAAATAATTTCAAACTATACAATAAAAGAAGGGGTTTTGTGGATATTATAGTAATTTTAATAGTTTAGATAATGAATCGATTGTAAGTAGACCATCATGGAAAACCTGGAAGAACTATAATATCTACAAAAACCCCTTTCATGTCAATCAACATATGTTCACTAGTGACTGGCTTCAAGAGGTATTTCATGAAGTTCTAGTGAGAAGCAGTGAATAGTGGAGTTCAACTGGGTCTGTTGTGAGATAGTAACTCATTGAAAACAATGGTGGATGTGTCCTTCGATTTCGTGAATTGCTTGAAGTTAGACATTGTACTGTTGGATGCCGTTCGGCTCGGTGGTCTGTAGGTTAAGCGTTCGCGCATGAGACCGACATGTTCTGTGTTCCAATCTCGGAGGGGGGCGGGATCGTGAGTATGCACGACTGATGAGTTCTATACCGGGACGAAACGGCCGTCCACTGCTTCCATGTTTTTCATAGTGGTCTAACTTCAACTGACAAATGATCTCAACTTTCAAAATTATACGATAAAAGACAAAACATATACAGTGGTAAGTAGTTTATATTTGAGAAAATTGAAGTTGGATTATCTGAATTAATCCAGCATTGTTTTTTATTTTGAACAACATAAAAATAACAAATTCATATGTAATTTATTGAACATATTGAAAAGAATATTTATTCTACTCATCAAAAACAATTGAACATACGAATTATAAGAAAATAAAGAAGAGGAAGGGAGAGAGCGAGAGAAAAAAAGAAACAGAATTTTTGTTGTTGTCTTCAGTTAGTCCTTTATCTAGATATAAAACAGTGGACAAATCAATTCATATCTCATTAAAATAGAAACTATACCAAGTATATGTTAGACTCACCATAAAATACACACAAACACGTGAAATGTTTTCGTAATAAAACTAAATTTTTCTCATATTTGATTGATGTTGTCCCCCTTATTTATTTATTTTTTTGTTCTTGTTTCTAGATACAAAAAGAACTGAATATTTTCAACTTATCAATCAAAAAATTAACGATGGTATGTTTTATGTAATTATCTTTGATATATATATATATATATATATATATATATATATATATATATATATAGTTCTGAGTTTTGAAGCTGTGTTCGTTGTATACACAATTTTTGTATTTAGCTTGTCAGTAACGCTTTTGAGATGTTGATCGACGTTGTAATCATTTACTCGTTTCAGTTGTCAGTACCACCACCTACAAAGATAATGTTAATAATAATAACAGAGTAAAACCTTTCTTGAGTAGTATGATAAATTTTATATGAAAAAATAGAGTGATTTGGATGATCTAGTATTCTATGTTTGTAATTATCTACTTAATCCTCTTATTTTATGAATAAGATTCTAATTTTTATTTAATTTAAGCAGTTAAGATTATATAGAGTGGTTTCATCAGTTGTCTTATTTATCACCTGTATAAATTATAATAAGAGACATGAAAATAAAACTATCTTTTTCCGTTTTAATATCATATAAATAATTATTGTGTAATTTCATCAAGCTGTAATAATTTGAGTTAGATTTGATTCATCAGGAGTCAAATTGTGAATTATTTCTTTGTTGCAAGCTTTGTAGATGTCTGTATTTATTATTAGAAAAATTTTAAGAATATGGTAAGCATTATTATGGGTTAGTAAATGTGAGAAGGAATAATTCATCATTAAGGGATGCCAAAAATGACATCAAGTAAGTTAATACTCGCTTAATAAATGAAAGATTGATTCCTTTACTAGCTAAACTTACTCAAACTGATTATGAATTATTTTCTATTAATTATTTATGCACTCTCCTGCTTACTGTGATTACTCTAAAGATGTAAATGCATAGGTTTGATTAGTAAAGACAGAATTGAGTTATAAGCAAAGTTGGATAGTGGCTAGCAGTGGAATCCAGGACGCGCATTTCATCCTATTTACTTATAATGATTATGAATTAAGGCAATATCGAGGAAATACGCACAGTATGCACATAAGTCAATAAGTGGCTAGTCAATCACAGTCCTAAACGTCAATGAGAAGATTCAAGTGAACAATATCAAGTGAATTTAGAATTGAGTCCTGTTAAATTATCACAAAAATGATTCTCAAATCTCATTGATTTTCATTGTATTCTATTTCATCAGATTATAGTGAATGGAATAAATTTTGTATATACATACTTAGCTAAATAAATAAGGTAAATTTTGAAACATTATATAAATTTCCTAATCATTATTTCACGAAAACTTGATCTAAGCTGACTTAGGGTTTTTAATTTCAATAACATTCATACAATGTAATTAAGTTCAATTTCCTAGTTGACAAGATTTCCTTATATATATACAATATTATAATATCATATTTTTATCAATAGTGGGTGGTTAAATCAAATAATGATTTAAGTGATTTAGATTATTGAGTGGTTATAAATTAATCAAATTTTTTTATTTATTTTAAGCAAAGATGGGTAGTGGCTAACAGTGAAATCTTGAACGCGAGTTTCGTCCTGTTTAGGACTCGTCATCTGGATGTACATGTATCTCAGAGTTGATGCTCACTTTGAGACTCGAACCCAGTACCGTTCACTTCAAACGCCATCACGTTCTTTACTTAGCTACTGAGTCCTGATAGCCACCTGCTTGTGCAATGTGGTGATATTTAAATTCACTTGGTGTCGTTTTACTTGTATTCAGATGACGAGTCCCAAATAGTACCAAACTCGCGGCCTGGATTTCATTACTAGCCACTATCCATATTTGCTTAAAAAGCTTGTAACTTAAGGCTATATCGGGATAATCAGCACAGGATGCACATATGTCAACATGAGACTGATCAATTGCAGTCGTAATTCATAATGGGAAGATAAAAGTGGAACAACACCAAGTGAATTTAACTTTTTGTTTGTTTAATGACAAAAAGGAATCGATCTGAATACAAAAATGTCATGTATTTGAGAATTACTTTTTTTAACAAGATATTTCAATGTATACAAATTAACTCATTTATGTTTGAAAACTAGTGAATGTAATTTAATATGGAGTAATTATTAGAAAGGGGACAGGGTTAAAATTATATGAAATCAATAAGACTTTTTTACACTTTTCCTCTAGATCAAAATAGATTACTGATTACCAGGGGCGGATCTATATCTAGAACACATAATTTTTATTTTATATAGAGGGTTGAAAAAGGATTATATAAATCGAAAAATGATAGTTTTTATAAAAAAGCAATAAAAGTAATTGTAAGCTTAAACTTAAGCTCCTTAGAAAAAATGTCGACTCGAGTTTCATATGCCAAACTACCTCAAATGAAACATGGTATACTTCGCTTTTTCAGATTAATGTTTACTACTCAGAAATTAGTTAGTGTGAGTTTAAATCCTACCTAGGGTATCGGTAAATCCAAGAATTAGGATATACTATGATGAAATTTACTAACTAGTACAAAATCTAATGGAAACTAATTATATTATTTGCTTCCAGCCCCATAAAATTCACAATCTTTATAGGTACAACCTTTAATGTGAAGTTAAAGTAAACGGTTCATTTACTGACAAAACATCTATGAACAATCTCTCATAAACTTGGAAAACTGAAATCAAATTCTCTACACTGAGCCTGTATCTCTGCTTTTTATCTATTAATGGATTCTAAATTATCAATGTAGAACGTTAAAGAGGAAGAATGTATTTGTAAAATCTCAGCAAAAGCTTGGACCAGAGTGCCAGGCGAAACATTGGATTTACTTCAAATTCTTTCGCTGAGATTTTACAAATGCATTCTTCCTCTTTAAAGGTTTCATATTAACTCGGCGCCCAAATTTTGTGAAACTATTCGTTCAAATTTAGACGAAAGTTCTTGTTTACTGGATCCTGGCTCAGTAGTCTAGAATTAAAGCGTCCGTGCTAGAGACCGAAGGTCCTGAGTTTGATCCCCAGTGACGAGAATATGGATGTACATTATTGTGGCCGCGAAAACTGTACACTGTCTCCTTGTGTCCACCGGTTATCTAGTTTAGATTAGTTCATAATATTAATAATATTCTGAATCGTTTATCAATTCATAATCTTTAATGAAAAATATGTCAAAATAATATCTGTCCAAACACTTATTTTTTTAAATATTGTTGTTCTTTTTCTAGCTCCAGCTCCACCAGCGTTTCTTATAGAAGAATGCATTTCAGAGCGTAATGTTATTACTCTTGTGTGGCAACCCACATCGTCTATTCCTATTGATCGTTACACACTTGAATTGGATGATGGAGCAGGTGGAACCTTCAGGGTTAGTTTATAGTATATCGTTTTTTCCAGAAATTGTTTACTTTTTTAAACTATTATTCATTTCGGTGGTAAAAAGATAACTACTTAAGCTCTACTTAATTAGGTCACCCAAAACAAGGACTTCTAATGTGTTGAATTAAGTTTCTTTTAAGTTTCTTCTAACATTCATCATTTTTGTATTTCTAACGTCCCATTTGGTTTAATTTTTTTATACTATATGTAGTTATTTATCAGTTATAATTTAGTAATAACAATCATAAAACATAAATGATGGCTTTTATGTAAATTCATTTTTAAATGAAACCCTTATGACCACTAGATCACATGACCAACTCTAGCTAAAATGTTGATTGCTTAAATAAGGACTGAAGAAAATGTAGTAAATATTACATTTTACAATGATGAGCCCAACAGTTTTATTTTAATAGGCTGTTTATTAATCAACATTTCTGATATATGTAGAAACAGCTAAACTAATATGTTGTTTTTAATGATTAAACATTGCCATTATCAAGTATCATTACCGAGGTTTGACTTGACGTTTATCGTCATCTTTTCTATGTGATAACGGCAATAATAAATTATTATATTTATAATAACCCAATGAGTAAAAAAATTAGATGTTCCGAAGTTGCGTGACTTCACATAAGCCACTTCTTCAGAGAATAAACAACCAAATCAAAATTAATCCAACATGATTTGGTCATTTATTCTTTGAAGAAGTGGCTTATACGGAGTCAAAAAAACTTCAGAAAATTTAATTTTTCTACTCATTCGGTCATTACAAATATATTATTTTATTTATTACCATTATCACATAGAAGAAATGAACATAAACCACACCCTTGAATATGTTAAATTTTTTGACAGCAATTTTAATATGTTTTTTTACAAGTTCAAAACTACTTCCTATGTTGTCATATCAGTCTATGTTATCACATTGATGCATAACTAACTGAAAACAATGTTGTTCAAATCCTTATGTATATTCAATATAATTGTGGAAAGAGTTTAGTACTTGATTTATGTTTATAAGTTTACAGAACATCTTTATAAAATACTTCAGAAAAGAAAATGAAATAAAATGCTGTGGGAATTTAAACAAGTTGCATATTTGGACGAATGTCAAATTTATTAAAATCATGAATAAAAAGTAGATATTAAAGAACTTGATTAGATCTGTAAGATAATTCTTATTCTTTATTCATTACGTAAACCATTAGTTAGAAACATTTCCGTTATTTACGGACCAGTGCTTAGGTCATTCAATTTTTACATCTATTCATATTTGACACATGATTTTTTTTTAATCATTTTTAGAAAGGGACAGATATAACCTAAGATTATGAAATATCGGTGGTAGAAAATATTCAGTAAGGTCCTTGAACAGCATCAGTATTTAAATACTTCACTCCTACAGAATTCTGAGATCATTTGTTACACATATTGAGATTAGATGGTGGTTGGAGGTAGTCAACAGGAAACCCTGGACCCGGTTTCCTGTTACTTGGTACTCGTCATCAAGGCATACCTGTAATCTTGAGGGAACTGATGCTCCCTTGCGGATTCGATCCCGTGTCATGCACCTTCACAGTCAGAGACGTTACCACTGAGCTATCCGGGCCGCGACCGACCTCCTCTAGGACTGAGATGTAATCACAATTGATTGATCACTGGATAGTGATCAATGTCATGTGTTTCAAGTCCTTATTTAGTGCAAATCGAATGCTATCGACGACGGGATTGAATCCACCAGGGAGCACCAGTTCCCTCAAGATTACAGGTACACCTTGATGACGAGTGCCAAGTAGCACGAAACCCGGGTCCAGAGTTTCCTGTCGACTACCTCCAACCACCATCTAATCTCAATATATAGTGCACGCAGTGTCGAGTCACCTAGACTGGTGGCCATATTGCAACATGGTCGATAGCATTCGATCTGCACTAAATAAGGACTTGACACACATGACACTGATCATCACCCAGTGATCAATCAGTTATGGTTATATATATATACCTATGAATGTTCAGCTTGTAGAATCTTTTCATTTTAAACGTCTAACATATTAATGTCTAAACAGAAGAGCAGAATTTCTACATTACTACGACATCATTACTTGATTAAACTTTGAATAACTATTTTTCAAAATAACATTAATTTTAATATAAAATGATATTAGGGTTATCTGAATTTATATGATAGAAACAACCTAATCTCACTATTAACAGTCAACAAAAGGGAAGCTAAGAAAGATGAGTTGTTTTTTTTTAGGAAAAGGAAGAGGTTTACGTTTGATTAGTTTGTTAAACTGATTATATATATATATATATATATATCTTGATTGACAGAAAAAAGTAAATCAAGCGTGTAGCTTTAATAAGTCTAATAAATCAAAACAAATTCTTCACGTTAACGAGTCAATGTTGTTTATATTCTCCAGACATTAGGGAATTTTTGTTAATGGAAAATGGTTTAAGGCCAATAATATTAATAGGGAGACTGTGTCTAGTTTGTTATATAATATTTAAGATTGATGAATTCTATGAGAATCATTATATCATCATGACACTAGTTTTTATAACAATCTGCTTTAGATGTTGAATATCATTTTACTGGACTATTTCATGGATATGAGTAATAAATTATTCTTCATAAATATTGTCAAACGTGAAAGTAGATCTACAGATATACTTGACTAATTTTTTGAGATATACAGTTAAGTTTGTAGACTCAACAGTTAGTGATGTTACTTAAAATCTATTTAGATGGTAAATTGAAACATATCTTAAAATTCTATTAAGTTTACTTCATCAGTTCAGTTAGTCATTCTCCTCAAAGTTCATGACAGTGAAAATTATTGTAGATTTTCAAATTAAGATGAAACAAGAATAATATATGCTGAATAGATTATGTTTGTTGTATTTCTCTACTTTTGTATAAGCTATATATAAGTTGATAAGTTTAGTCAGTTTAAAATATTGACTTCTTGGAAACGGTAGGAACTAAATTGTCATGTATGAATAATTATTCATTTTAGAAGGGAAATCTATGATTGAGTTTAAAATTAAAGTTGTGAATGATTTTGTTGAATATACCTTATAAGTAGCTCACAACAAATCTATAAAGTGTCCTTTATCGTCTGACATGTAGGATTTGGAAAATTGTATGATAAAACGTGTAAATGCTCATTTTCAACACATTCTAATTCTATTGAAATCACAAACTGATTTAAATCAGACAATAATTAAAGATCTAGAAGTAGTGAACAGCCGTTTTGTCTTATCATGAAACTCTTCAGCAGTATGCATTCATGTCCTTATAACCAGGACTTTCGACCTTGCGAGAGAACGCTTGACAACTGGACAACAGAGCTATGACTAAATGGCGTACAAGTCTAACTTAAATCAATTTGCAATGCTTGTTTGATACGAGCATGGGATTTTGTTAGAACACTTTATGGTATTCGTTGATTCTTAGTGGATCTTCAACTGATATCACACCATGATTAAAATTACTTTTAAATGAATACTTCTAACGACTTTCACAAAATCATCCGGATAAAGATGCGAGATTTTTTATATTAATTCTATGAACAGTTCAGCCTTTAGCCTTTATACTCTCAGGTGGTTTGAATACATACTAAATAAATAAAAATAGTACGAACAGATAGTTTTCATAATATTTGACGCTGACACAATAAAATTTGAAATGTTAAAATATGGTAGCTTCTCGTAATTTTTCCAGTCTTTACCGCATTGAATTAAATGTCTGTCTCACTTAAAATGAGTTGCTTCTGTTATTGAATTATCTTTATAAATTGCTTCAAATGTTCCTTAAATTTCATGAACATTTTCATTGAGTTTGATCAATAACTTCAGTAAATCAGTTTCTGTATTTATTGAATAAGCTATGCATATTAACGATTATCAGTATCTTAGTTTAAAATACCAAAGTACTGAATGGATTACGGTTAGTATTTAAAATTTTACTGTTACCATGTATACACCCTTAATATTTATTTAAAAATTTGATGAACCTAACCGATACCATATTTTACTTAAGCTGCTTATAAAACACTGAGAACATAGTAAATGAAGAAATAAAACTTTATTTGATAATCACCAGCTTACTATATGAAACCAACTGACAAATTAACCTATTAAATAAAATGTACTATAAAGTTTTTCTACCAGTTACATTTATGATTGTTCTGTTCAATGTTACTAATAAATTTCAGTTATTATCAAAAGAGAGCTTTGTGGAGATTTTAGCAATTTAGTAGTTGAATTTATGAGTCAGTTGTAACTAGGCCACCATGTAAAACCTGGAAGTACTGGTTTTTTGACGGCCGTTTCAGCCTAGTGCGAAACTCCCCTGCAGTGCGCATCCAGGTGCTTCGAGGTTTTCAGTGGTGGACTAGCTTCAAATGACCCATGAATTCAACTATTAAATCTTATTGATTATTTTAGACCTAATGATCAAGCTTATGTTTATGGATTCCTGTGGCCTATGTTGTATGGCAAAAATAAAATCTTGAAGAATGGGCTAAGTTGAGTGATATCTCAGTTAGTCAGTCAACTATAACGTAGGACCAGGCACATACATGCATCGGTCCAAGTTGCCGAACCTCATTAACACATCAAGATGAATAACAAATTTTTAGTAGTCACTTCAATAGTCGTAATGTATAAAAGAAAGACTGCGTATAAGGATATAGTACTGGAAGAAAGAATTAGTTCGTAGAAAGAAAGATATGAAGCGATCTTAATCTGTTAGTTTAAAGGAAGACAGATAGTGTATACATCGACGCCATTGTGATCGGTTCTGAGCCATGTCACCAAGAGTCTCCAACCATTGGTTACGATAGTCACGCGGACCCCAACCAAGTAGTCTGCATCTACCAACATGGCTCAGACTAGAATTTAGTGACTTCAAGGACTAGTGCCACAGTTTGGTTTGGCCACCCCTAACTTTATTCCAACCGTCTCCAACACTTGTCAGCATTGCACGTTATGGTAATTGTTATTCAGGCATACCTAACACGTGGCCCAACCACATTAGTCGATGAGGATTCACAACCTCACCAACTGATTTACCATCATTCCCTAATACCCTGCTTCTAGGTTCACTATTACTTAACCAGCGGTAAATAACTTCAAAAGTTATCATCATTTTAATTTTGTCACTCATGTCGATTAAAACCTTTTTCCCGTTTTTTTGCTCAACCGAGAAATGTGATGTTCAGAAAAACAGACGAACTTTCCTAGTTACTTTATAGATAAATTTGTGTACGCTGGTCAGTTAGTTCTAAAAAATTGGATTATTTTTTCATTTGCTGTATTCATAAGCATTCCAATAAAAATCTAGGTTTGCATTATAAAGTAACGATGTCATTTCGGTTAACAGCTATCCATAAAATCAATAGAAAAATTTAAATAACTAAAACCTATGGGTTAAAATTTACCCCATTGTACAAACCGGTGGCTTTTTGGACTCATTAGCTAAATGGATAACGTGTCAGATGTTTGAAGCAGAAGATACTTCGTCTAAAACCTGGTGCGAACATCAACACTGCAGTGCAGGTATATCCAGCTAATGAGTCCCAAATAGAAGGGAATATAGACTTCACTGCTTTCCATAATCCAAATCTGATTAAAATGCTTGCAACTTAATGTTAACATCGAGTTAGTCTGCACAGATTATTCATATGCTTAAAGATACTGATCAACTGCACTTCATAACATCAACAAGAACCAATACAAATGGAAATACCATGTGTTTGTTAGATTTTTATAAGAATAATTAAATAACGTGATTTGAATATCTTTTTATCTTCAGATATACTTATCTCCAAACTTAGGAATTAAGTTAAATAATCATAAGAGGAATATAAAAGAATTCTAAAAAAACAGGCATATTTATCATAAAACTCAATCTAATAATATGAACATGAAGGGGAAGTAAGGTTCGAATAATTTTTTTTAAAATTATCATAACAATAGTTATTATCGTTGGGATAAAAATCCAATTTTGTAAATTTGTTGATATCTTGAATCTATGTTAGTATTTCTTTTTTTTGTATATGAATATGTATCTTTAAAAATATGTACACATATTCATAGATGTATTATGTATTTCACGCCCATGGGCAAAGTTAGCTATTTAGTAGTAAACACAGAAAAAAATTTTTCTCTCATTTATGTGAATAATTCTAATCCCACCTTTTTAAAAAAAACTTGATCATTTACTATGTCAGAAGGGCTGTTGTGGAAATTATAGTAATTTCAGTGGTTGAGATCATGAGTCGATTGAGGCTAGACCACCATGGAAAACCTGGGAGCACTAGATGGCGGTTTTGTCTTAATGTGGGACTCTTCATCAGTGCGCATCCACGATCTCGTCTCGTGAGATTCGAACACAGGACCTACTATAATATATATAAAAACCCCTTCTGATATGAATTGATATATGTTCACTAGTGACTGGCTTCAAGAGGTATTTCATGAAGTTCTAGTGAGAAACAGTGAACAGTGGAGTTCAACTGGGTCTGCTGTAAGAGAGTAACTCACTGAAGAAAATAATGGGTGTGTCGCTCACTTTTGTGGATTAGTTGAAGTTAGACATTGAGACTGTTAGATACCGGTCGTCTCAGTGATCTGGAAGTTAAGCATTCGTGCATGAGACCGATATGTCATGTGTTCGAATCTCGAGAGGCGGGATCGTGAATGCGCACTGCTGAGGAGTCCCACAATAGAACGAAAGGGCCGTCCATTTCTTCCATGTTTTCCATGATGGTCTAACTTCAATTGACTCATGATCTCAACCGTTGATATTCACTATGTGTTCAATAACAATCGAATTTCTTGATAATTGTTACCACTACAATAAAAAATATTGAGAAGGATTTAGAAAGTAATATAGAATAATTCATTTCTATTCTCATTAAAATGTTATCACTTTGTTTTCAACAATCTTTTAGTAACAGATCATTGTAATAAGTTATTAGATTACTTTCAATTGATGTCAGAAATATGTAAACTGACCGGCTCTTAAAACTTAATAAACATAACTAGAAAGAACATTGTAATTTGAAGTATTCCACAAGATAATTGTCATAAATTATATTTTTCTTAGCTAATACTCAAATGAGAATTACAAGACAGATATGCAACTGAAGTAAATTATGTGTTTTAGTGTTTCGCAACGTTTCTTACTAAAATTATGTTTATTTTCAACAATTCGTTCGCTTTAAATATCCGTTGTCTAAATGGCATTTCTTCAGACTTCACAGTTATCAATGAATTATTTAGATAATATGTATATGGTGTTTCACAGAATTACTCGAACAGCAAGGAATATATAATCTTCAACCGAATTTACTGATAAGTGATTAAAAGTAAAAAGTTATATGATAAACATTTCAAGCAAACTATTCAAAACTTATATCTTTAAAATAGTTTTCACTTGCTTTACAAACATCTAATCAAACCATAATATTCTAAACTGTTCGACTTTATTTTCAGGAGTTTAACTGTTTTGAATTTTAAGGATATATTTAGCCTGTGAAATGTGAGTAGAGATTATGTAGATGACATTAGTTAAATGCTTTATAATTTGTAACCATCTAAATGAGCAAACTATAAAAGGTTCCTAATGATTTCTAACTTTGTTTCATACTGATATATTAGAAATGTTAAATTTCTGACATTATTGACTAGTCATTGAATTTAGTTGTATAACTCACTAATCATTAATTGAAATTCAAGTAAACCGATTTTCGTAATTATTTCCGAATTAACGAACCGTTAAATAGTGTGATTATGAAATCATACGCATAATTACTACAAATTCTTTAACGAGATTTTCATAATTTACATATTTTTTAAAATTACTTTTATTCATATTTAGAAAGTTTATCGAGGTGTTGAAACAATGTGCACTGTCGAAGGTTTACACTTTCGTTCCGTCTATCGTGCTCGCGTTAAAGCACACAACCAAGCTGGTGAAAGTCAATACAGTGAACGAATTTGTCTACAGACATCAGATTGTGAGTTGATAAACAATGTAACCTGTGAATTTTTTTCAATGATTCATAAGTAATTTAAGTGAAATAATAAAAAAATAACTTCAACTAATAAACAATTTAGACGGTTGAATGAATTTCATACACATTTCTCTTTATTCATCTTACGGAGAACAAAAACAATTAGTTAAGCGTAACATGAATTTTTTTACTTTGTAAATTCACATTCATGAGTCGATTTAAGCTAGACCACCAATGAAAACCTGGAAGTAATGGACGTCCGTTTCGTCCTTGTTATAACTTGTCAGTTGAGCGCTACTTTTTATATCTGGTCGTTGTTGATTGTTGTTTCGGAAACGCTTATCACTTATACTCAGAACGTGGGACCTCCGCGATTCCCACAACGCGAATGTAAGGATACAAGACTGGTATAAGTGAAGATTTATTAACCCAAGAACACGACGACGATGACGATAGTCAAGAATACACTCGTTTATATATTGATTGTACACACACTTTGAATAATAATTAGGATGAAATCACATATATAAAAATCACTTAAAATTATTACAAATCACATAGCAAGCATAGTTGATATCCATTGAATACAAGAATATCGTATATTAGACGGAATAAAATATCATACGAGAAAACAACTACTACACTGAATAACCATCACATTCAATCAAAACGGAATTAATATTGAACAAAACTCATAATCAATAAATCAATCAAAAATTGACTTTTCTTTCCATCATATCAGTCCTAGTATGAGACTATTCATCAGTACGCATTCACAAGCTCACAGGCGAGACTCGAACACAGGACCTTCGGTGTTGCACGCAAACGCTCAACCTCCAGATCACTAAGCCAGCTCGACTCATGAATTCGACTTCTAATTACTAAAATCTCCACTAACCCTCATTCTAATAACTTCTCATTATTAGCTTACATTTGGTTGTATTTCAAATCCAAAATACACAAAACTATGTTAAAGATACCTGAAGAAATAAATTTGTTTAGAATTTAATGTAACCATTATTTAACATGGGATAGTAAAAATAAGACAAACATGAAAAAACTGAATATAAATACTTCGTATATATTTTAAGAATAAAAGAAAACTCCAAAATATTTAATAATACGAAAGGAATAAAATGCTACTTGTGTAGCGTTAAAGACCATATCAGTGATAAGATAGGAATCTAAATCAAAGTAAGCAAATTTCAGTTAGACCACTGAGCCGGCATCCAATGGTGTTAATGTCTAACTTTAACCAATCCACGAAGTTGCGCCACCGTATACCATTGTCTTCAGTGAGCTGATATCTCACAACAGACCTGGTTGAACTCCACTGGCAATGGCGTCTCACTAGAACTCCAGGAGTATATCTTGAAGTCAGTCACTAGTGAGCAGATGGTTATTATCAGAAGTTTGTGGAGATTTTAGAAATTTCACAGATTGAAATCATGAGTCAATTGAAGCTAGACCACCATGGAAAACCCGGAAGCACTGGACGGCTGTTTCGTCCTAGTATGGGACTCCTTATCAGTGAGCATCCGCGATCTCGCACCCCGTGAGATTCGAACCCAGGACCTATCAGTCTCGCGCCAGGAGCTTAACCAACTAGACCACTGAGCTGGCATCTAATGGTGTTACTAGGACGAAACGGCCGTCCAGTGCTTCCAGGTTTTCTATGGTGGTCTAGCTTCAATTGACTCATTATTTCAATCTGTGAAATTTCTAAAATCTCCACAAACCTCTTCTGATAAAATTTCAGTTACTTAAAAATGCAAAAAATTAGTGAAACAAAATAACGTCGAAAAAAGACGTGATAAAGTAGTTTGACGCGAACAAAAAAATCTAAAGAATTATAATGTGATAAAATGAAATGTATGTTATCAAGATAAATACTGATTACCAACTGTCTTTTAGAACTCACAAATTAGGTTTCTCTTGACTTTACGTAATAGTTTCAAAAAACTTCAAAAGTTTCAGAGACATCTGAAAATTGCTCCATTTATAGTTCTCATTTTGTTTGATAAAAGACTTCTTGGAAAACGAAGTTAACATACTTTTTTATGTTTTATTGTTTTTCTACATTTACCTAGTACTAATCTATTTGATATATAATAACTTGAACATTAATATTTACCCATAGAATGGAAATAACTGTGTTTTTTTGTGTAAACAACTTGATATACTATGTAGTTTTCTAGTAGGTTTCATCATCAATATCAATAGATTAGAGATATTTTTTCCAAGTATTTAACTTGACAATAATTCCAACCATGAATCAACTATGTGGAAAGTTTCCATAAAAAGGAGTTCCCTAAAACGGTTATTTAATAATATAAATGGGTAACAACAGTTTTTCAACCTTTTGCCATCTGAAATTAATAATGCAGAAGGTATACAATTGTATTCTATTTTTACATTTCACATGCTTTTAAACAGCTCCTTTACAATTAGGTTGGAACTGTTTCTGCATCAAAAATCCAAACACATACAGCACTCATAGATATTACCTAATAACTTTGCAGAATTCAACTATTCTTCTGTATGATTTTGTCACTGTATAGTAACTGGTGTCACTTAAGAAACAGCAGTAACTGCCCTCATAGTTATCACCAGCCAACTAAGCTTAAATAACGTCTACAGTGACATCAGTTTATCTAATTTGAGAGACTATTCAGCCTAAAAATAGTGCCTGACAAAAAATTATTTCTCGCTCATTATTTTTTCAAATACAGCAAAAGATTAGTTGGTAGATTATTATAACGATTAAATCATTACTTTAACGCCATATTATGTTGTAAAAATATTTACTTCATAGAGACATCTATATTAATGGAGTTAGTAACCTTTTACCCCAAAATAAATATAATTGCATCTGTCAATGTTAGACCACCACTGAAAACCTGGGAGCACTGGCTGGTTATTTTGCTGTAGTATGGAGATATTCTGTAGTGTACATCCACGACCCTGCAGTCTCGGTTCGGACCCATGGTCTTCGGTCTCTCATGCTAGTGCTCAGCCATTAAACAATTAGAACGAAACGGACGGTCAGTGCTTCCAGGTTTTCAATGGTGGACCAACGTTGATCGACTCGAGATCTCAATCAAAACTCAATAACCTCCACAACTCTATACTTACAATAATTATAACTAGTTTACTTTGCAAGTAAAAATTTCAAAAGGAAAATTTAACACAATCTTTATATAGATAGTGTTATTCATATATGTTAGAACGCCACTGAAAACCTGCAAGCGTCAGACGGTCGTTTCGTCTTATTGTCGGACCCCCCAGCAGTGTGCATCCACGATCCCGCAGTCCAGATTTAGATTGACAAGTTTAATGGTGAACGGTGGTTCAAGTTCGTGGATTGTTTGGAGTTTGATATTAACACCGTTGGATGCCGGTCGGCTCAGTGGTCTAGTGGTTAAGCATTCGCCCGCGAGACCGATATGTTCTGTGTTTGAATCTCGCGCGACGGGATCGTGAATGCACACTGCTGAGGAGTCTTACAATTAGACGAATGGGCCATCCATTGCTTCCAGGTTTTCCATGGTGGTTCAGCTTCAATTAACTCATGAACTCAACTATTAATTTATTCATATATAATGAACAAAAAACTATTTAACGTTGAATCTTCATTTGTATACTTTCTTGTTCAAAATTTTAGCATTGTTGTCTCATGTTTTATTTTAGGCATAAAATATTCAATAAAGATTATAGGATAACAAATGAATAAGCATTATTGTAAGACAGTTTTACCATTTGTAATTGCAAATGAGGTATAGACATGCTTTGTAATGAATTTATAATTAGAAAATGAATAAACAGTTAATATAGGAACAAGTACTGATTGAAGAGTTCTTTATTTGTAAAACTCTAAAAAACAAAAAAAAAGTGAAATTCATTTCGCTTCAATATACAAGAGTTGGTCGATATTCATATTATCCTATCATTATCAGAATGGGTTTTGTGGAGAGTTATTAGATAATTCAGATTTAAATCTATCTCTATTTCAATTTATATTTAAATTACATAATAATAAATGATAAGATTTAATTCTAAAACAAAAGACAAAACAAAAGAAAGAGCTTACTTCATCCAAACACTCGTTCTGTAGTGAAAAATGAATTTAACTGGTAAACATTTTTAGATCCGTCTTTTTTTCTTTTTACAACAAAAAGAAAAAGACACTTTTAAACTAGAATGGTAATTTTTATAATCTACTCAAACCGTTAAAGAAATATATATATATATATATAATTTCCATTCTAACTGAATTCATTTCATTCTACACTTTCTATACAGACAGACTTAAACACTTAAATGAATAGTTGAAAGATGGTTTTTTTCTTTTCTTTTATTGCTTTGAAGTTAATTCATTTAAAATACTTCAATTTGAATGTGATTTTTATTTCGTTAATTGTACAAATAAAATTGTATACATATTTCTTTTCTTAACAAAATACCATTTACAATATTTCTCAAGATATGTGTATGTTAATCCTTTAATTGATTTGAACAATTAGTAACATTAAAAAAGGAGATGAAAATACAGACAATTGTATTTTCATAAGTCGATCTAAGCTAGATCATCACTGAAAATCTGTAAGCACTGGATGGTCGTTTCGTCCCAGTATAGAACGCCGCCTTTAATTGATATAAACAAATAATAACATTAAGAAAAAGAGAGATGAAAATACAACAATATAATACAATTCTTTATTAGTATGAATAAAAAAGAAATAGCAGAAAGAGTTTTGTGGATAGTATAGTAATGTCAATTGAAGCGAGACCATGGTAAAATGATAGGTCCTGTGTTCGAATCTCGCGAGGTGGGATCGTGAATACGCCTTGCTGAGGAGTCCTACAATAAGAAGAAATGGCCGTCTACTGCTTTCAGGATTTTCATGGTGGTATAGCTTCAATTGACTCATGAATTCAACTACGAAATTGCTATAATATCCACAAAACCTCTTCTGATATGAATTGACATATGTTCACTAGTG